GTCTACCCCAGTGAGCGAAATAAAGGGTTCAGTTTGACATTCCAACCACCTGAAGAAGGCCGGAGCATACAACGGCCGAAACATTAAATATAGCAACAAAGATGAGGACAATAGTCCGAATAATGTAAATAGTGTAAATGAAACTTCACTCGTCACCACAACTCAATGTAAATAAACTTTTGGTAAATTTGAACTTTCATGTCCACAAAAAAATGAGTGTCAAAAAAAATGGTTTTTCCCTTGATGACACTATTATTTTAACTACCTTCACTCCTGGGCAATGTTTATTGTTTTAAAAAGTGATGATTAGAATTTTAAAGAAACCTAAACATATGAACGTGAATTTTATACATTTTTTTTTTTTTGTTCTTCAGAATTGACAACAAAAATAATCAACACTGATTGATTGTTTATTGGAATTGTTGGCAAATAATTGGCTAACTGCCAATTGATTTGAACTTTATAAAATGGCAAATAAAGATTTCTTTATATTTGGTTCACATGTTTTAAATTAGTAAATGTTAATAAATTTATGAATAAAAAATTGTTTTCATATTTATTTCTTTATAAATTGGTAAACAATAAATAATGCATTGCATTAGTCTTAAATCTTAATACAGTTGTATTAGTTTTTAGAATGTTGTAAATATAAAATTAATCTTTAAATAAACAATTTAATAAATAGTGTTTAATATTTTTGTTATATATTTTCAAGAACAAAGAAAATGTATAAACTCACTTTCAAATATTTATTTTTTATTTATTCCAATTCTAAACATCGCTTTTTAACACAATAAACATTGATGAGTGAGAGTAGCTAAAATAATAAATACATTTATATTAAAATCTAATCTTTGACAAAGAGGGAAAAAAACATGAAAAACTAATAAAAATGTATTCTTTACAGAGTTATTTCCCCCTTTCACATTCACCTCAAAATTTTCTAAAAAGACCAGTTTTTTCCTTGTCTTTGTTGTTTTTAACCACAAAATGCAGCAAAAAAATAAATAAATAAAAAGAACAAATTAATCAATATAAAATTTTAATAACAATTCATCTTTAGACATTCAGACAAAAACAAATGGGTAATATGCAAATGTTGAAAGTCATTATGTTTTATTGTCCTTGGGTATCCTCTGAATGTGCCAGTGTTAGCCGAAACCCAAAACAATGAAGAGTTTTTTTTCCCCAGTGAGACAAGTGCCCTTGACTTTCACAGATTAATGTCTATAGATTCATAATACAGTTGATTTTACAAGAATGTAAATGAACCAAACTGGGTCAGATGTGTACAGAGTATCACATTCCCTGGTATTGCAGATTTGAATGGAGGTCACCAGTGGGATGAAATGTAAACTATTCATACTATTTGGACATGGTAGATTTTACAAGGATGTATTTGGACTGACTTCAGTACTAAGTGTATATACAATAGGAGAAAGAGAACAAAGAAAGACAGACAAGAGACATGACAGACAGACAGACAAGATGGGGACTCAGCAAAGAAGACCAGACAAGACACATGACAGACAAGGATGTGAGGGGGACTCAGTAAATAAGAACGAACAAGAGACATAACAGAAAGACAGGCAAGGGTGAGGGAGGACTTCACAAAGAAGAAAGGAAAAGCTATGACATGGGAGACAAGCTGTACATATGACAGACAAGAGGGAGGAGTGACTCAGCAAAGAACAGACAAAATGTGACAGACAGTAAGAGAGACTCTGCAAAAAAAAAAAAACAAAAAAAAAAACCTTGTCTTTATTTGGAGATTTGTCATTCAGGCTTTACAAGGCAGCAATGGTTGTAAAGAAAAATATGGGGACTCAGAGGATTGGTAATTTGGAAATTCTTTAAAGAGATCCTTCAAGAAGAGAAAAGTTTTAGGGCTTTATTTTAAGGATAGTGTCCACAGCAGTGTAAGAATATTAAAAAATAAAAATAAGAAAAGGTATTAATCTTTAAAAGAAAATTTACCTGATTTCTGTCTGAATTTCTGTGATGAGGAGTTATCATTATTTATAATATTTATATTTGGACTATTATCCTCATCTTTTTTGTTGTTATTACAACATTTCGTCCATTGTGCCTGTCAGCCTTCCTCAGGTGTATATTGGTCTAGGAAGCCTACAGTGAATTCTGTACTGAACTCTTTATTTAATTTACAGGGGTAGACTATTCTCATTCCACTGCTCATGTCTCTGGATACGGTCAAGTTCTTATATTTATTTAGTATTGTTCAGTTATTTTGCATCCAATTCCTCTGAGTACTAATACACACTGCCTGACACAGGGATCGACCTCACAACCATTATGCCACCAAAATCACAAACCAATGCTTTTACCCACAAGGCCATTGTCCCTATGGGGACTAGAAGATATCCCTGGATATAAGCAGTGGAATGAAAAGATATCTCTAGGAATGAGCAGTGGAATGAGAACAGTCCACCCTCATTGATTAAATAAAGGGTTAAGTTCAGAATTCCTTGTAGGTTACCCAGATCAATATACACCTGAAGAAGGCCAGAGGACACAACAGCTGAAGCATTGTGATAACAACCACAAAGATAAGGACAATAGTCCAAATATAAATAGAGTACATAATTTAATTGATGCTCTTTTATATTATCCCCATTTTCATTTATTTCCAAATTTGTGTCTGAGGGAGTGTGGATAAAGTGTCAAAATGTTATAGAAAGAAAAAAAAACTGTTTTCCTACTTGGGAAAGAGAAGAATTCATTTTTCTTTTATAAGTGTTCTTTTTTTTGTAGGGGTGGGTGGGTAGGAAAGAGGTCATTCTTTTTTTTCAGAAAGTAAATACTGTGTTCAAATTACTGAACACACTGCAATCTGTGCTTGCATAAACTTATAATCCAGCAAAGGAGAAAAATAATTTCTATATTAATAAAAATAGAACAAAGTTTTTTGGGTTTTTTTTATGCAACAAAGATAAAAATGGAAAGTATAGCATTGTGGCTTATGAATGGAGAATAGGGATAGTGCTCAGGATCACATTTCCTCCTCCATGTATGAAAGGTGGGTCTGCCTGATGTTCCTCCATCTTTTTATACTGGTATGTCTCCACAAAAAAGGATTTAAAAAATTATATACAGAAAATATTATCATGTCATCACCTTACACACACATATATTTTAATTATTTTTCAGTGTACATTGACTGAAAATTACTACTAGTTTCTATTTAGAGCATACAGTCGTCATGCAATCAAAGTGAACTGCCTGTTGACTGCATACACATGAAACTAGTAGTAGTTTTCAATAAATGTATGCCATAAAGTAATTACAAAAATCATACTAATGCTCTGCCACTAAATATGGCAATCAGCTCTTTTTTGCTGGTGTGCCTTCATAGCATACTCACACAGGAGTTGCTTACTTTGCACACACACACACACACATATATATATATATATATATATATATATATATATATATATATATATATATTTTTCATTACTTGAAATGTTACTTTTAGTAGATACTTGTATTCATGTAGATGCTCAATTATCTTAAACAGTGTTTATTTGGTCTACCAGTCTACGTACTCCAGACCCCACTTAATAAAGAAAATGTAAAGTTTTCTCTAGAGTATCAAGACTAGTAGATGAAATAAACACAGTTACAAAAAAAAAAATAAAAAAAAAAAATAAAATGGAGTGTCTACTTAAATACAGGTATCGACTAAAAATAACATTTCAAGTAATAAAATTATCTAAGATTATTATTATATAATACATATATATATATATATATATATATATATATATATATATATATGTGTGTAAGCAAATATATGGATATAGATCCGACAGTATGAAGAAAAATATATGGAAAAACAAAATCCGAATATGCAAGTATGCTGTTTTAATGTTGTTTCAATATTAACGTCAGACGTTTGGTCTAGTAGACCTTCTTCAGAATACTAATAATTAGTTTTAAAACCTAATTAACTGAAGATGATATTCTTAGATCTATCGTCTTTTTCACATTGAAATCATCATTAAAATGTTCATACTTACATATTTGGTTTTTTTTTTCCATATATTTTCTCATATATATATATATATATATATATATATATATATATATATATATATGTGTGTGTGTGTGTGTATGTATATATATATATATATATGAGTGTGAGTGTGTGAATAAAAGAAAAGCAAAAACTATCTTAGCCGATGTGTTTCATCTTCTGATGGCACATGTCAGGATTTTATTTTGTAATAGGTATTTATAAACAAAAGGTAAAAATATCATTATAATGTTGTTTACTTTATTTTTAATTTTTGTTTCATACATTTTAAATAAGAGAAGGTTTTGAATTTAACTGTTTTCTTTTCATTTCTTAAAATTTTTTATAGTCATGAATGTGGACTTATAAAGGGAGTAATTCTTTCAGATAAGGAGACAGTTGAAAAAATCCGAGGGAGATTTATATTTTAGTAAAATTTGAGAGCAGCACTAAAAAGTAAGTTATTTTCTCTTAATGATAATAATAATTTATTTTTAATAATTTTAATAATTAATTTAACAAAATTTACTCACTTTCATTTATTAGACACAAATTACAGTTAGCCTGAAGTATATTTATAAGTGTTCTTAAATTTAAAAAACAATTAATAAACAATTAATAAATTTAAAAAACTAACGATATTTTTAGTTTTGTGTATATATACTTGTTGCAAAATAAAATCCTTACATTTTTGCCTTGATGAAGTCCATCAGAAGACAAAACGCATCAGCTAAGTTTTCCTTTTGTCTTTATTTATATTGTGTTTTATAGATATATTTTTACTTATATCAGATTTTATATATATATATATATAGGCAGTCTCCTACATCTTTTTGTCTGGAAATCTGTACTTGCATAAGCAAAAGGTTCTTAGGTTCTGAAACGTATTCCTCGATGGCAGCTTATATACTGATGGCACCAGGGCATTCTGTCTGTGTGTCTGTCACAATCATTTTATCTCGTCTCAGAATATTTTCTTTGATGTGTCTGGACAGTACCCATTGTCAAGTCGATTTTGGATGAGAGGAAATGAAATGTATGGCCAAATACCACCAAACATCTGAAAGAAACAAACAAAATTAATTTATTTGCTTGTGCATAATGCAAGAAATTTCAAATAAGAGCGGCAAAGGAGGTTGTTTGTATTTTACACAAGTATACATCAGATTAGGAGGCACAGTGGAGTAATGGATAGTGGCTCGGCCTTGGATGGCAACTGGTCTACCACAGAAAGAAATTGCAACCTACTGCTGGGAAAAAATCTGCCTCGTCAGTCATGTATCAAAAGATACATGATCACCTAAGTGTGTATCACGCATGGCTCATAACTGACTGAGTACTGGTTGCCCAGCCAATGAATATTGAATGTTTCCTCATCAGTAAACAGCTAATATTACCATTGCCATTTCTTTCAGTGGTAGACCAGTTGCCATCCAAGGCTATAGAACTTGGTCTGTCCTGCTATTTACCCATAGCTGGGGGGAGAAGAGGAGGATTCATACCCTTTCCCAAGGGTATTAGCACATAAGTGAATGTAATGGATTTGACTGGAATTCAAACTCAGCTCTCTGATTCCTCATCCATTACTCCACAGGCTGTACTACTCCAGTTAATCTTTTTTTCATTCATATGCCATCGTGCTAGGATCAAAGTGTAGTATCTGTTCTCCTCACCTCTAGTGGCAATGGTAATATTAGCTGTTTACTGATGAGGAAACATTCAGCATTCATTGGCCAGGCTGCCAGTAGTATTCCAGTTAATCTTTTGTTCATTCCTATGCCATCGTGTTGGGATCAAAGTGTAGTATGTGTTCTCATCTTTCATGGTAATATTAACTGTTTCCCCATAAGGAAACATTTGGTATTCATTGACCAAGCAGCAAATACTACTTTCACTTATAATCTATAAAATCTTTCTAATAAAATTATTTTTTAGGAAAATAGTTTTCTCAAGTCCAGCTCTTTCCAGTATATTTTGTTCATTTCTCATTTTGAAGTAGTGTGGAACATCAAGACCTTGATTATGTCATTATTTTCTCTTAGAGTGACATGCCGAGTTATCTGTTGCTGCTGTTGAAAGTCCTAAAGTGATGTGGTTTCTGTTAACTATCTATAAAAGGCAGGATGTGTGTGTGTGTGTGTAATGAATGTGCGGCCGCAATTTTCGACGGATTTGCACCAAAATTTACATGCACATGCTCCAAGTTAGCAGGAAGGCCAAAACTGACTTTGCATTTCCCAACTCCCATCGATAGTGGAAATAATCAATTTTTTCATGCTTCTACAGTAGTTTTCATGTAGTTTGCAGCCATTTTGTACTGGCCAGAGTGAGAGCCAATAGCTAGCTGCCACGAATAGGCAGGAAGATTCTATCGGCCAGCATGAGAGCCAACAGCTGACTGACATGAATGTTAACTAGAATGCTAACATGCAAAAAAAATTGATAGCCGCATTCATCACAAGTGGGAAATATTTAAATCTGCATGGCACTTTACTCCAATTGGCTCATTCACTTGCTTAAACTTAACGTTGATTCTGATTCCGCAGAACTGGGTTGGGTGTGCAAAAGTATTTGTTGTTAGCATTTTCATTCGGTTTTTCCAGTTACGAGTCTTTTTTTAAAGATGATCGTTTTGTGTTCATTTTGTTTAGTTCTTTTTTCCTAACAGATTTAATGTTTAGTATAGAGCTTAGAAAAAATTTGCAGTGTGAGATAGGCAAGAAGTAAGGCATGTAGCAACATCAGCACAGCAGAGGGCACTCCTTTAAAGGCAAGGAAGGGCAAAAATATTTTAAGTCAAGTGATAGCGATTGCTGTATGAGTCAAGCATGGGCAACACCAGACCATGCTGCTAGTTTGGTATAGTTCTTTGTCTGGAATTCTGTAGCATCATGAAAAGTTCAAAGAAAGCTGATCCTCATTAAGACCTACAGGCTTCATTTGCTGCTGGATGTCATTTTTAATCATTGATCTGTGGACAGCAGAATGAGAACAATTTAAACTAAATAAAGGGTTCAGTTCAAATTTCCTTGAAACCAGAATCAACATGCATCTTAAGAAGGTTAGAGGGCACAATGACCAAAGATGAGGATGTTAGTCTGACTGTAAATAATGTAAATAGAATAATCTGATATTGTGAAACTGACAAATCCTTTTGGATCCGTTCCATTGTTCGTCTCTTTCTAAGGAATGCTTGCTGCAAATATATAACGTTATTGGAGGTTCTCACTCTGGTTCTTGTCCAAGAACCAACATAGGACAGATATTTTTACAATGGAGACTGCTACCTATGCTAATTTAATTCTTCTTCCAGTGTTGTTGGTCCATTGCTGATGGCTTATAGGCTATCCATTTCCTTTTGAAAAGAATCCAGTTCTTCCAGTGGAATTCAACATCAGTAACATAACCAGGTGTGGTCATAGAGTTTCCGAGCTGTCCTTTTGACACATTTGGGTTGGAAGCAGGAGAGGTATTCATTCATCTGTTGCACGTCTTGTGCAAATAGTCTTGGTGAAGCACATTCCTCTCCAGGTTAAACCACAGGTAATGTTCTCACCTTACTTTTTGATCAATTCATTTTCTACAGCTTATCAACATATTACAGGTTATTTAAAGCCAGAAAATATTTTTAGATTGTAAAAATTTTTTAAGGGAGACAACGGTTTAGTGATACAAGTCTTACTAATTAACCCATATCTGGGGGGACAAAAGGTGGATTCGTACCTTTTCTATACCTTTCATCATACTTTTGTTCTACTATGAATAATTCTGAGCCATTATCCATTATACCACTCAAACATCGAAGCTCACAGCACCTGGTATTTCCAAACACAGAGGCACAAACCATACTGCTTCCCCCCCCCCCACTAAGAGTGGAAGCATTACTAGATGGATGGTCAATGACATAGAGAATCAAATGAATACACTGACGGTGTAGCAATTAATGGCAGAGAAAGCAGGATTGGCATGCTGAGTTCGAATTTCAGCCAGGACCATTGCATTCAATTTCCCACAAAAATCCTTGGAAAGATATGAATCTGTCTTCCTACTGCTCCTACAGCTATGGGTTAAATATCAAGGTAGACTGGGTTCTATATTTTTGGTTGGTAACTGGTTTAGAAGAAAACAACTCCAAAATAAAAACCAATTGGATACGGGGGCGATTAACTCCATTCTGTAGAAAGATAGATATTTGCAATTCTTATTTATTTTTCAGTAGTTTACTTTGTTTCGTTGTGAACATGAGGGCATGTGTAAAGGTAAACCTTTAAAAATCTTTAAATGTTTCTTTCCACAAAAAGTAAAATGAATAAAGATTTTTTCACTTATTTTAATAAAAGAAAATAATAGTGGCAGGGGCAGGTCAATCCATTCAAACTAAAATGACAAACTCTTCAACCAGAATAAAATTTATTGTTTTCTTACCTTTATTTTCGGATCTCTTTTCAAATATAAATATCTTGTGTGGATACTGCAAAATAAAATGTCTCTTTTCAAATATGTATATATGTGTGTGTGTGTGTGTGAGTGTGTGTGTGTTAATATAAAATATATATATAAATAAAATATCTCTTTTTAAATAAGAAATGATTTGGGGACTAAAGCATCATTATCACTAACCCAGGATACACCAGCAGTATTGCACAATGTCAAATTTTGTTACTAGATATATATAGATGCAGCCTCTGCCTGCAGTTTGAACCTTTTAATATATTTCTTTTTTTTTTCTGTTGGTAACAATACAAGTTTATTACATCTTTAGAATATATAGAAATATATTAAAACTAAGGTGGATGAATAGCAAGGATAAGCAAAGAAAATAAAAAAAAAATTATTACTCACTGTAAGTAGTGAATAAAAAATATAACAAAAAAAAAACAGAAACAAAATGGGCTAACTAGTTATCATTCCTCCCTCTTCACAGCTCAATCAAGGACAAACATAAATATGTGCACAGCTAAAGAAAAAACACTGCCTGAGAATCAGTAATATCAATGATAGATAGATTACATTTACCATTCCTTTTAAGAGAAGGCTACTTAACTTAAAGTGTTTAAAGTACTTTCAAATGGTAACCTGAATGTGTCGAGCTGACTATTATGAAAAATTATCTGATAAAAGACATGGGACAAGTTGGATCATTTATTAGATGCCCTGCAATTGCAGAACCAGATAAATTAATAAGCATATACAAATTTTCATAATGCCGTCTATAGATATGAGTTTAGTCAGATATACTGAGATCAAGTTTGCAATGAAACCTTGGTGTCTAACTTTGTTATGAAATATCTGTTGTCCAACTATTTCTTACAGGCATTTGAACTTTTCCAGTTAATATTTTCTTTTATTAAACACATCCTTTTAAAACTAAAGTGATCATGGCTCTCTTCAACTTCCTTTTCTTTGTAGCACTCTACTTTAAAATTAAATCAATAATCTTTTTCTTTTTTTCATATTCATTCACTCAGTAACCACCCTTGAATCTTAGTGGCTTAATTGCCTTGCTTGAAAGGAAATAAAACAAAAAAATTTGTATTCAATTACTGAGAGAAAAATTAGTGGTAACGAGGTTTCAACAATTTACTGTTAAGTCAGCTAGATGTAACCACAAGTTCTATGCTAATAGTTTCTTCTATTGCAATTCTCGTTTGTGGAACTCTCTTCCAGCTTCTTGCTTCACAGTCAACTTTGATCTTCAAAAATTTAAATGCAATGTGTCGTTATCCTCTCTCTCCTTAATTCTTGTTCTTTTAATGTTCTCTCTTCTTAAAATTTTTCTTTCACATATTCTCTAACACTCAGTAGCCCCCTTGTGGCTTAGTGGCTTTATTACCTTGCACATAAAAAAGACTAGATTAGCAACAAGGGCTCATCAATTTACAATCTACAGTCTTTTACTCTTCTTTTGGTTTCACTTCTTAGTAATGTTTGATTAAGAGAAAAAAACTAATAACCAAATTTTTGTCTAATCATAGTTACTTAGCAATTAAACACACACAGGATAACAAGAAAAAAAATTAAATTCCAAGATATCGTTCAGTATTATTTACGAATCCAACAAGTGATTGAACCATGTCTTTCATTCGGAGATTTCTTATTAATCCATTCAGTATGAAAGAATTGGAAGAGAAAGTAGCGCACAGTTGTTTTTTAATATGACCATGTCCTTGGCCACAGTAGCCAGTTTATAATACTACTTCTTTTTACTGGCTAGTATGGATGGTGCGTGTATATATATATATATATATATAAGGTAAAGCAATTGACCTTATAGTCTCTAATAACCCGATGACCACACAACTAAATCCTCTGCAAAAAATCAATTTACATGCCTGTTCAGAGATTGTATCTCTGATACTAATAATAAACCCCCTACATATATTGATTTTATTACAACCTCGCTCTCCTCTAGACTTGCCTGTCACCTTTCAGATCTTAGTTCTATTGAACAACATTTTTCAGAAAAACATAGCCATGTACATAATATTAGACAGATATTAGTTGATAACACAATAATACTCAAATATACACACAGTAAAAAGAACCTTCACACTCAACAAAATTACATTTCAAACTAGTCACAATACATTACATTGCAGCTAGACATATAGTTCTGTTGTTAATATTTCGGCCTCTTGCATGGTATGATGTCAGAGAACTGCATCTTGAACTTATGACCTGCATCTGCTATTCCACAACTGTTATCGTCACATAGTAATCATCTATGTCAACATAACAAAATATTATCTTCGATGGTGAACAAATGTCCATATAGCCACTCTGAAGATGGCTCATGTGAGCTGAAAGCTTAGATCAAGGACCAATTTAATAAAAAAAATATTCAAATGTTGGACAATTTTTAGTCTTTATTTTCATTCGAAATTAAAGCAAATATACAAACATTAGAATGGCTTATGATCAGACATAATAGACATTCATTGTCTGTTATATTTAACAATATATGTTTGAATAATGATCTGTTGCCCCAATACACTATATATATATATATATATATATATGTATTTAAATAAAAAGAAAGAACACTAAGATATATAATCCAGTGTTCTTATAGATATTTTTATTTTTACAAAATAGTGCTCAATGTAAATTTACAGAGCATTAATATTATAAATTAATTGATTTAAAATATGGTTTTTTATTTTTGAAACATGGTTAGAACTGTGTAGCAGAAAAAAAAACATTTTAAATCAATTAATTTATTATATATATATATATATATATATATATATATATATATATAAACATATATTATTAAATATAACAAACAATGAATGTTTATTATGTCTGATCATGAGCCGTTCTACTGTTCTAATGTTCGTATGTTTGCTTTAATTATATGCATGTGTGGAGAGGGCATAGGAAGTTGAGGATAGACATAATACCTTTGATGTCAGGCATGCAACACCTTCAGGTGGACAGACATCACTAGTCCTCAACCATCTCCTAAAGCTTTCACATGATGGCTCCAAGTTGGCATACCTCTGGTAAACTGTTTCAGCTGGCAGCCTAAACTCATATGAGTGGGTGATGTTAACACGGCACCACTAGGCGAAAGACCTACTTAATGCAGGTCACTGGCCAGGGCGGAAGGGTTCCTCAGATCAACTACAACAGCCACATGTTCGCGACCAAAGTGAGCTACCTAATTGGAGGACATTGGCTGCGGTCTAACCTGGAGAGGGATGGGCTCCGCCAGGTTAAAACATCCAAGACATGCCACATGATGAGCACACCAAGAAACTATTTGCAGAGAGACCCAGTCTCTGTCAGACGACTGCAAGAGATGAAGGAAAATAGCAGAAAGCTCAGAACCCCAACAACTCCTTCCAGGGTCAAGGGCAAAATGAGGAGAAAATGGTGTGTAAAATATAACACTGGTGCATCTTCAGTCATTGCAACCACTAATAATTATGTTACTGGGGGTACTATTTTTATCACGGTACCAATTATAACATCCCTTGCTTTTTTTGATCCCCAGTTGCTTGTTACAACACTTCTGGCCGTTGCTTCTGACTAGTTGGTTTGTTACTTTCTTATTCCCATTCTGGGTATGACAATAATCTGATCTCTGATCAGGAGGTTTTGGGGAGCATGGAAACACCTTAATTGCTGGTGTTCCCCGATCCACCCTGACCCGGGCTGGTAGCACCTGTTAAGGTCCCAGCTATGGGCAAATAGTTAACACCCAAACTTGTATAAAAATAGGTTTTAATACCAGAAATACTTTCTAAGAAAAAAAAAAATTATTACCAACAATAATTTTTGAAGGAAAAATTATTATCAGCAATACTTAATACTAGAAGGCACAGAATCCCCAATATGCACTGAATGCCAAGAGAAATTTACGTGCTGACCCACCTTCACATAAGTCACACCTACATCACCCAGCATTATTTACTAGAGGGCACAGAATCCCCAATATGCACTGAATGCCAAGAGAAATTTACGTGCTGACCCACCTTCACATAAGTCACACCTACATCACCCAGCATTATTTACTAGAGGGCACAGAATCCCCAATATGCACTGAATGCCAAGAGAAATTTACAGTGTAACATATACTGTCAGTGTGTGTAGATTTTGATCTAGTGCAAACAAAATATTACTAAGTGAGTAATTTAAAAAAAAATCTCTTTATGAAAATAAAACCATCCAAGATTGTAAATTTCCTAAAAGTTGGATTGTACTCAAAAATATGAGTAATTGAAAAATGGATCAAATATATATGTATACATACACACCTTTTTTTACCAAACTACCGCTATGAATCTATTTCAAAAATTTTGACGACATTAAATGACCCACTGAGGTTTTGATATGCCATAAAACAAAACAACCAACCAACTTCCTCATTCTAGTTGATAATCAATTTGACAATCTTCTATCAGTCATTGTGTTTTTAAGATCCTGGAAAAGGAGTATTTGATAAAGTTTACCAGATCTCTAGAATGAAGTGAAATCAACAATACTAATCAGATAACAGCAGTATTCCTTCTGTCAAACAATATATCAGTGCTCTTATAAAAAAATAATTTTGTTTAATTTGATGAAAGCAATATTCACTACTGTTGATGCTTTAGGTGTAAACATTAGCCAAACAATATAGGACTACTTGTTTAGATAAGTTCTCTGCACTTCAGTCTGGCAAGGTAATTATTGCTGAGGGAGCAAATATGATTTGGTAAAATCTTGCTTCAGAGAGTTTCTTTTAACAACTATTTTTGTTAATTCTTCCTAACAACTTTTCCTGACAACTCATCAAACAATGACTGCTACTGGCTTCAGTCTTCCCCAACTCTCTGCTTAATCTCTTCTCTCGACAAAACCCAGGCAAAAATTATCTGGTGACTGCTGCACACCTGAATATATAGGGGTTTCTACCAAATTCTTAGCTATATTTCATCCCAATTCGTTAATTCCAACCATGGGACACATTGGAAGTTGTCTTCCTCGCCTTTGGGGCTATACTTCATCCCAACTGATCTATCAAAGGTGGTTTCAATTTACACATGGGAGCCCACAATTTCAGCACCCCACAGAATTTTCTGCACACACACACATTTAACAGTGTCCCATGATTGTGATGCCATCAATGTCTGCATTGCTGATTTTCAACTTTTGACCCTGTCAACCATTTAGTCAAAATACCTATTGTTTCAAATCATGGTTACTAGTTTTCTGAATTATCTAGACTTCACAGCTGTGAGAAGAAAAGGCTTTTCTAACCGTGGGAATCAATATTTTCCTTTTACACTTCAACATAGTTTTATTGTTTTTCAATTTCTGCAATAGTCTTGGGTCTGCATTTTTCTCCGGTCTCATATTGCAATTGGTTAACAGTACAGAAATTAGAACTGACAAGCTAAATTCAAATTCTGGCAGAGCCTGTTATTTTTTTTCTTTGCACTAATGCCCCGAAAAAAGGCAATAATCCATCTCTTTCCCCACCTAGGGTTAAATAGCAGAATTGATCAAGCTCTCCCATCTTGAGTTGTAATCAGTCTAAGAAGAAGACAACTTTGAATTCAAATCCATAGAATAGGTAAGGGGAAAGCACAATCTTTCCCATCAAGTCATGGTAATTGGCAGATAAGGAAATTGTGGAGACCCATGATCAGCTACATTCAGAAAGGATATGGCATTTAAAAAAAATCAAAAGAAAAGAAAGGAATATGACATTTGGAACAGATATTTACATCAAAAAGTGATGTCAGGAACTTAACGTTTTTTTAAACAAATTGGTATTAAAAAAATACGAGTAGATACTTACCAAAATAAAATTGCTAAGTAGGTACCGATTCCAGCAAGTAAATGCCACCAAGCATGAAGTTGACTGACAGGCCCTAGAGAACCAAGGTCTTGACGGACTTTTCTGCAAAAAGAAAAAAAAAATCAAACGATAATATTTGTAAAAGAAAAACAAACATGAAATTAATAGCGTCTGATAGTTAAGAGGAGGTAACATAAACAGAGTTGACCTCTTAAGAAGCAGATGGCAAAAAGTGCAATTCTCTGAAGATGTTTAATTCTCCAAGAAATATAGCTTAATGAAATAAATTAATATTCATTGGTTACCATTTATGACTGCATTTCTATTTTCTCGGTTTCCTTATTTTTTTATTACTACATTCAGGGTCAATCCACTGTTATTTTATTTAGTTTGATTCTATCTTATTATTGTTGCTATTTATCCCAACACTCCGGCTCTATACACTCTACATTATTATTATAAATTTTTTCAAAATTTTTTTCAGAAAAATAAAATACTTCCAATCATGTAGACTTGTAGAATAACTTTTAGAATGTTTTCTTCTAACATCAAAAATGTCTTCTTCTAACATCAAAAATGTTTGATCTCCCAATAAAAAAAAAAAAATAATGGAATTATCATTTTAAATCTCATTTATAGAAAGCTTAAAATCCATATTGTGAACTAATCTATTTGGAATTGATAAAAAAAAATTAAAAAAAAATCAATATTTTTATTCTCTGTGAATCAGTCTTTCATTCAGGTATTTGTTTAATGACTGGAAGAATCAAAATTGCTAATTTTTGAAAAACAAAAAAGAAAAAAAAGAAAAAATGATAGGAGATCTTGTTTTTGTAAAGAAAAAGCTTGCTTTTTCATGTTTTATGAAGGAATTGGAGAAAAACTCTATAACTGACCTTGCTGGCATATGAACCCTTAACTTCTCAACTACTCAATTCCTCACACAGGTGGTTGACTTTCCCACCTGTTTCCCTAACAACCATGACGGTAAGCCTTCCCTTCTTGATCTGTTTCACCTCCATTGCCGAGTCTTTTCATACCACTCAGCTCTTCCCATTTGGCAACTCTGATCTTGCTGTAGTGTCTGTCAACATCTTCTTCTACTCCACCCCCAGCATAGAACTTCCTACCAACAGAACATCTTTCTGTTATCAACGAGCAGACTGGGACACGTTCCATGATTTCCTTTGCAATGTCCCTTGGAATGTGGTCTTTAATCTTACCATTCAAGAATGTGCTTCTGAAGTCTCCTGAGTAAAAGCTAGAATCGAGGCTTTCATCTCCACAAGGAAATATAAGGTTAAATCATGCTCGTCCCCTTAGTTCTCTGCTGTTTGCTCAGCTGCCATTGCCCATAGGAATCACTACTTCTCCCTGTAAGACTGCAACAGATGTCTCTTTGTCTCAGCCCGTAATGAGTGCAAGCATCTCCTCAATGAAGCAAAATCACTATTTGCTGATAGAATGAAACAACGTATTGCATCTCACAAATTCAGTTCCAAAGATTATTGGCGTCTCTGCAAGGGCATACTAAACAACAGCAAACCCACAATACCTCCTTTGTTCAACCAATTTGAAGTCCTGACTTCCTCAACTGATAAGGCTGAGTGCTTTGCTTGTAAATCCTCATTCAATTCAACGCTCAACTCATCTGATATACCGACACCCAATTTCCCCGCTAGAACTGAGGCTTTGTTGAGCGATTTGCACATAGCCCCATCATTGGTAATGAGCATCATCTCTAAATTAGACTCCCATAAGGCTAGTGGTGGAGACAGGATACCAGCCATCGTCCTGAAGAAATGTGCTCCTGAACTGACTCCTGTTCTCTCCAAACTATAGAACTAATGCTTCAACGATTCCTGCTTTCTATTCTGTTGGAAGTCTTCATCTACTGTACCTGTCTTCAAGAACTCTGGTGACCCTTCTGACCCATCTAACTACCATCCTATCAATCTCTTACAATTCTTCAGCAAAGTCTTTGAAGCTTTAATCAACATTGAAGTAGTTAATCACCTTATATCCCATGATCTGCTCTCTAACAAGCAATATGGTATCCACTTTGCCCAGTCTACAGCTGAGGTGCTCACAGCCATAACTAAATTTGTTTACCAAGCTCTTCACAATAAACAAAAAGCTTGTGCTGTGGCTTTAGATATCTCTAAAGCATTTGATAGGATTTGGCATGCCAGTCTCCTTCATAAGCTTCAGGGATACGGTATTTCAGGATAATTATTTGACTTAATACAATCATTCCTGTCAAACCGTGTAATGGAGGTGGTCATTAATGGATTCTCCTCCAGTTCCTTTCTCATGAATACTGGTGTTCCCCAAGACTCTATCCTGGGTCCTAAACTGTTCCTTATCTTCATTAACGATCTTCCTGATGTCATCATTTCCCAAATATTTTAATTCAATTTATTCAGATACAAGGAAAAGACAAAAGAAAAAAGGAAGAGAGAGAAAAGAGAAAACGTAAAAAAATTTAATATTAAAAGAAAGAAAAAAGGGGGAGAAAGAGATTTCAATATAAGGGTTTTAGGGGGTTGAGAAAGAGAGATAGACATTGGGAGGGGAAAGGGAAAGAAAGTTGACAGGTTGACCCAGAAAATATTTTATGCCCCACCCAGACTAAACAATTTAAAAAATAGGGTGGAGGAAGGGAGCAATCATATGCAAAATAGATACAGTGAAATTGTCTAGACATTTTAATCTGTTTTTATCTTGAGCTCTCTTTGGATTTAAATCCTCTTTGAAATTATTCCTACTAATCATCAAATGTTATTTATATATATATATATATATATATATATATATATATATATATATATTGATAATATTAGTGGTCAATATATATATATATATATATATATATATTTCCAAGAGGATAAAATCCAGATTGAGCTCAATGTACAGTACAGAGCAAGAATATAATATTAAAGTGTTTGAGCCTTTTATATTATATATGTGTGTGTGTGTGTGTGTGTGTGTTTCTTAATTCTGTAGGTGTGATGTTATTGTGGACTTGGAACAGCTGATCTTTGATTAACTTTACCTAATCTCAAATCTCAATCTCTACCTCAATCTCAAATATTTTAGATTGCTGGAATTTTTTTTTTTTTTGAGATAATAATGGTTTACTGATACAAGTCATACTAATTAACCCATAGGTGGTGGAGAGAGAAAAGGTGGATTCATACCTTTCCCAAGGGTATTCGTGCATAACTGAATATAACGAACCCAACTGAAATTTGAACTCTGCACTCCGAATAACAATTTTGAGCAATTAACCGCTAAATCACCTGCACCTTTAAGCTTACATCACCTGGTATTCCCAAGTGGTCACCCATCTACAATGATTGTACAGGAACTGGTGTTTCAATGTGATATAGGCATAAGCAAGCCACCCCCACACCCACTCTTGGAACCAGACTAGGATAACTGACTTCAAAACTAGTTAGGCATAGAACTAGCATCTCTATCCTGTAAAAAAACCTAGTTGTTACTGAAACCATGGCAGCAACACCTAGTGTGGTGAATCTATGGCTCTATACTCCACAGGAGAGTCTACAAGGTTAACTAATATACATGTATTAGATATATACATACTGTTGAGAGAATCTTTTAAAATTAATAAGTTTCGGCTTGAAAAACTTGTTTCTCCTATAGAAAATTTGAAAACTGTTGAATTTGCTTTTCAACCAAAAAAACTGACATATAATTAGTAATAATAATAAAAAAAAACATACATTGGAATTTTTTTTTAAGATCAACAACAATAATCAATACCTAACGTAAAAGAAAAAAAACTTATTGAAAAATTGATATCTGTAAAATTATTGGCCCCAAAAATGTCCCCATATAAACTAAAATCTATCAATAGATTTTTCACCATAAAGATTACATATCCATTTTACTTTATATTAACTAATTTTAGTTATTATGTTGTCATCAATGTTCCCAATGGATCATAGCTGTTTAGAGTTCATCCAGATTTCCAATGCTAGTATTTTGCATAAATATATATATATATATATATATATACACACACACACACACAAATGCGAGAAAGAACAGATGGAGTAAAATTCCACTGTTCATAGCATTTCATTTTTCACTTCCCATCACCTGAAGAGGCACAATATAGTGTCGAAACAAAAAGTCTATGGTTTAGCAATTTCAACATGTTTTTGTTTTAATCTCTTATTATATATATATATATATATATATATATATATATATATATATATATATATATATAAAATCCTAAGCAAGGCAATAGTGCCACTAAGACACAAGGGGGGTTACTAGATGTGAAAGAAAATGAGAAAAAGAAAAACATTATAAAGGATAGAGAACAATAAAAAAAGAGAAATTAAGAAGACATAAGTAACGATTGCCATTGCATTTAAATTTTTGAAGATCAAAGTTGACTGGTGTTGTGGAGACGAACACACCCCTCTCCTGAATATGACTTGGACTTTTCCAAATACATATAGACTGACACTGAGAATTGTCAGTAGGAGTAAACATGTAGCAAGTTGGAGATCTAGCCTACCTGCTTACTACCTATTTCAGAAAGACTATGTTGACTCCAAGCAACATACTACTTCTTAATTGTGTTATCTTCATTCAATGAAGACCATAACAGTGGCAACGAGAATTCAAATTCACACAAAAACAAAACTTTTCTTCCCTCTCACTTAGCATAAATAGCCGGCAAAATTCAAAATTCACAGAAAAAAATAATTTTGGTGAAGTTCATGTATACTCATAGTGCTGTATGATATATGGTTATTAGGGGGAAAAAAAACAAAAAAAAAAATTTTCTTTCTAATTAAGAAGTACTTGTTTGAACAAAATACATGATGGGAGAATTGAAGATAATTATTCAGCAAATATTACAACAAATGAAATGGGAACAGATTGAATATCAAGAACAGACAAAAGCAATCCTGGTAAAGCAAGGAACATGCAATGCGTCAATTTCATTTTCATTGGATTCAGTCACTAACTCAGCAAATTTAATTACATCCCAGGAGGAAAACACTACATTGCTATCATACTTCAGAAGGTACAAGGCCATTTTAAGAGAAGAATAT